TTTTCTTGCCATACGAAATTTACTCATATTTGGAAAAACTTGCAGTTACCTAGGGGAAGTACAACTTGATATGAAGTAATATTTGGTGTAAAAATTGCTCATATTGGTAGTTATTATAGTTTTTAGTATAAATATTAATGATATTAACCGTCAAGTGAAAAGCTACAAAGTAAAAAAAAATAACAGTGTAGCTTTAACGCATACACTCAATGACGTTTCACCGTTGTTGTTTATGTTACCTGCAGCTTTCTGTTTCATCATTTTTGCCTAGATTTTTGTTTTCGATAGCTCTGATCGTTTTCGGCTTTTTTGATGATAAAAACGGCACTGGACGAGGCAAGTTCCCCCAGCAGCAAATTTCTCCAAATTGCAAGCTCATGGCGAATGTATTAGGACCACGGAACCATCACTATGGGACTCCGTTTACAGGGGTACCGTAGTCAGTCGATTCCCGTTCCATCGGAGGACAGAACATTGGATTGCAGACGATGAAGAATTCGTGGAAATTAATGACTATTTCCTGGGAACGGAAGTGCGCCAAAGAATGCCAAATTTATGAGAACAAGGAGCGGATTTTGGTGGCCCTGGCCAGCAAGATCATCAAGGAATGACTTGCCTCTAGTGTCAAATCCATTTTTAATGATACGAATGTCAAATGTACACTTTAAACTAGAAATACTCAGAGGGAGAGATAGGCGGAGAAAACAAAATACAATTCGGCAGCAGGGATTTGTTCCTAAATTATCTTGCAACCCGTGCTAGAAGCTAGTATTTCAAATGACTTTTATTTTTGATTCTATTTACGTGCAAAATTATAATTGATTGTATCGCAATATTTTGCACATTTCTTGTTGCCATTCATTAACCAACGAAGATCAATTAATCAATAGAGTTAGAATATTGTTTTTGGTTCCAAAAACTAGTTGAATTTGAGAAGCACACAAAACATAAAGGTGATTGAATTTCTGTTCGATTGCAATACTCTCAAAATTATTCTAGTAAGAATAAAAAATCCTCGGAAATATTCTAATTGGAATGTTCGATTGGCTCAGATTTTGACAGTTCATTTGGCTCAAAACAATCTCTCCGCCCATCTCTCCCTCTGAGTATTTCTACTTTAAACCAAACACAAATTAAAAACAACTGTCAGACTAAGTGTAAGATTCGCAAATATCACACATAGGTTATACGTCCCTAACCTCGGTCTAATATGCAGCCATCGATTACGTTTTTAATCATAACTCATCAATGAATTTACCTGCAAACGATATTCTACTGCTAAATGGTATGCTTAGATATGCTTATCATGTCGTTTGCTATCAGAAACCACGAAAAGTTGAAAAACTTACTTTTTTTAAGACAATAACTCACGAGGGAAATGTATGTAATATGGGTCTATTGTCCCCAAATTGGGTCTATTTATGGATGCAACTTCGTCCTATCTTGTTTGATCCTCAAAAAAACGCTCTTGGTAACGTTTTCTGATGTATTTTTTTTATCACTATCACTGTTAACTTAATGCTCTTCATTCCTCAAAACATTTCTTAGAGAAAATTTTACGAAAACTACATTAAATCACTCAATTTAAAAATTAAAAATTTCGCTTATCGTCTTTTGACCGCAGAATATCTAAATCAGAACATTGTGATGTTCATTATACAGGTTTGGCAGAAAAAATCTCCCTTCCTGTTCGTTCCTTATCATCCAAATGCAAAACAACATTGTTGACGTTACTCTTATTGCTATATGCTGTCAAATGAATTTCATGGGCCATAGTTAGGAACATAGAAAAGAAATGTGTCCCTAAAGTTGGGTCCATGTTTTACTTGTGAAAACGTTGTTAAACAATTAAAATAAACATAAAATATTCAAACAGCAACTGTAAGTTTTACGTCTAGTGTGTATTATCAGGTAATTCCAATCAATAAATGCCATAATCAGGCCATTTGATGATCGTCAGTCAACCTTCCCATCTTAACCTTATAAGTCATGGCGGCTAAAAACTCCGAACATTGTGATATTCTCAACCAGTTTTATTACTTACGAGAGCTGAAAATGTATTGAAATGTTGTGATATAAATTGATTTGTGTGTGGTACACATTTATCAACCATCAGTGATCAATATTTTCCTTATTTTTTGTGTAATATTCCTTAATTAATTATTTATTTGCGTGATAGGCCGAATGAAAGGACTAGACCCACATTACATACCGTAACCCTATTAAAATATTTAATATTTCCACCATCGGTATTGATGTTGATACTTGGAGCTGTCCTTCCCCTAGGCAGTTACTCATTGCTAATGAGTAACTGCAGGTTTTTTTCTTTTCTAAATATGAGTAAATTTCGTATGGAAAGAAAATGCTGAGTCAATTGAATGTAGTCGCTGAGTTGTTCTGGTTGGCCGTGTACTTCTTCATTCAGTTATCGTCGTTTCACAAAATTCATCATCGATGGAATGGCGGATGCTTTCGAAGAAGACGGTTCAGGTAGCTGGTCAGCTGATGGTTGAACCTGACGCTTGCAAGATATTTTGTGCTTCTGCTGCGCATGACGCAGCAGTTCGCTCGTTGAAGATCCCTTGCACTTAAGAATTTGCAAACACCTATGGCATTGTGCTTTTTCCGCGTCAGAAGGAAGCTTTTTGAAATATCGCCAAATATCCGCCATATCTGTAGCTGATTTGTAAAATTTAAATTAATAACAAGAAATGTATTAATTCCTATTTCGCTTACCACTTTTGTGTCTCAGCTGCAGCAAAACACTAAAGTGAATTGAATTTACTACGCTTTTTTCTCATCTAATGAATGATGGAATCATTTGACAGATAGGATCAATATCACCGTATCATGACGGTACGCTTTCAGGCGGAATGGTCAAGTGTGAGTGCAATCACACTGTCTGCTGACGTCAGCAGATATATGGAGTAGTTCGTTTTATCGGCACTCACAGTCAATTTTTTCGAAGATTTCTGCTGAAGATATCTAGATCAACAATTGAAATAGGCGGAACAACCAAACGTAAACAATAGCTTTAAACGCAAATTCCTCGAGAATCAAAGCACATCCTAGCAATCTAACACCAACAACTGATAGAGCAAACTTCCTTTATCGAATGGCATTGTTAGTTTGCGTGAGAGTGTTTTGATTCTCGAGAATTTTGTGTTTAAAGCCATTGTTTATGTTTGGTTGTTCCGCCTATTTCAATTGTTAGTCTAGATATGTTCAATCGACATCAAATTAAAACAACAATTTATAAAAAAATATACATGACAGAAGAGAACGTAAAACTGCAGCCGAATTGAAAGCAATTTTACAATTAATATAAATTTCCCGGGAATTTTGGGGAATCAAAATTTATAATCCCGGGAAATCTTATTTCCCGGGAATGCAAACACTAGCTGTGAGTGTGTGAGTGATCACGTGTTTCCGATGCAAGATGTAAATATATTCAAAGCTATTTTCAATGGGAAAGATCTGTCAGTTCAACTGTGAACTGTCAAAACTTCACGGTAAACAACAAAGAAAATGGCGTTGACGGCGACTCTGTAGCTCTTTACTCCTATGAGAAAATCAATAAGCAAACGTCAGACTGTGCGTGAAACATGGCGGACTTTGTACCACCGACAAACCGACAGGAATGACCATAGCAAAACCAATAAAATTTCTGACCAAAACACACTACTGACATCTGGCTCCATGTTCGCGGGAAATATTTAGCTAAACCATGAAACCGCATGTAAAATATATGTATTGGTTCGTGTCTGAACAAATTATTTTTATCTAGATCAAAAAATCCTATGGTTTTGACAGTTCGGATCACTGCACATTTAAATCGGCCGTTTACGATTTTAGGGCATAAGTCAGAATTAAGTGTTCTGTCGGTTTGTCGGTGTTTGTACTATCCTTTCACTCCACCGAAAATTCCCATAAGAAACTGTCTATATTTGCTGAAAGAGCAAATTTTTCGACGGTTCCGTCAACGCCAATCAGCTGACTACTGCTGTCCCACGGAATGACTTATTATCTCTGGAATTCCTCTACAATGCCGCTCAGTTAATTTGGCCTGCTCATCACCGACAAACCGACATTTAATTCTGACTTATGCCCGAAAATCGTAAACGGCCGATTTAAATGTGCAGTGATCCGAACTGTCAAAACCATAGGATTTTTTGATCAAGATAAAAATAATTTGTTCAGAATAGATCAGACACGAACCAATTCATATATTTTACATGTGGTTTCATGGCTTAGCTAAATATTTCCCGCGAACATGGAGCCAGATGTCAGTAGTGTGTTCTGGTAAGAAATTTGATTGATTTTGCTATGGTCATTCATGTTGGTTTGTCGGTGTTTTCATCATAATTCAATGAATCAAAAGCCAGAATCCTAGAATTCATCCATGTCCAAGAATTTGGACGACAAAAATTGGATTATGGAATATAATGTGATAATTACCTATTTGTTGCAATCTTAAAACCTAATAAATTCATAAAATGTAATTCCGTAACTTTTTTCCAGTGATATCAATTGCTGAAATCAATTCTTTTGCTTACCATATTTAGCAGCTAGGGCCCGTTCAAATATTATGTAACGCAAAAAAGGGGATTTTTGAATACCCCCCCCCCCTTGTCACGCACTTTTCCTATACCTAAGACATGGTGGTTAACACATTTTCAGACTACCCCCACCCCCTCTTGCGTTATGTAATATTTAAATGGGCCCTTTATACGAAATCACGAAAAACATGTTGGGCACCCGGAAAAAAACCATTTCTTAATATCAGTAGGATCTCATCCGTGTCTGGGCGCTGAGTTCAAGCGTTCTTTGCTGAATACTGACATTGTTTGTCCATTTACCGGCATACCGACTGGATGGTCAGCCCACTGTAGTCTGCCATGTTTTACTATATGCCTAAAATTGAGAATATGAACCTAATCCAATGATTGTCTTTTGCCATCCACAATAACCGACCATGAATCTTCCTTTCCATTCACCAGGAAATGACCGAGTACAAGCTGAAGTGCAAAAATGAGCAAAGCGGTGTAGGCGGCACCCCGCTCAATCTCGGTGGACTGCAGCAAACCAGCCTCCAGAACCTGCCACAGCACGTGCAGCAGGCGGCGGCGGCTCAACTGCAGGCACAGGTCCAACAGCAGCTGGCGGCCCAGGCTGCGGTAGCAGCGGCAGCCCAGGCGGCGGCACATCACGCCGACGATGACGATGATGATGTCGACGAGGATGATAACGAGTAAAATCAAGCTTTCGATTTGTATTATAAATATTTTCTTACGATGATATTAAGCAACCGACAACAACAACAACAACAACAGCAGCAGCAACAGCAGCAACAACAACAGCAGCAGCAGCAGCAACAACAACAGCAGCAGCAGCAGCAACAACAACAACAACAACTGCAACAGCAGCAACCACAAGGAGGGCACTCTTCTCTGCTCACCAGTTTGATCAATCATCGGCGGCAGCAGCTGCAACAGAAGAAACCACAAGTAGAAGCAGAAGAGCGCAAGAATTCGCATTCGCAGCAGAACAATGTCGATGAGGATGAAGGAGAAGAAGAAGAAGATGATGAAAGTGATGAGCAAGACGATTCCGGCTCGGAACGAACGTCCCTACCACCATCGTCAACCGCTGCAACTACCACATAACTTACAACAACAACAACAACAACATAAGAGGAGTCGGACCACCGGGGAATGACCGGATCTACTCTCGTTCGGTCATTTGTCGTTTGGGACCTCACTTCCAGAATCGCAAATGCAATAATCCTTTTCTTTGCAAGTGGTAATCCAGTTGCAAGCAAGGTGGTGGACGACGACGACGACGACGGTTCCTTAGAGCGTCAGGATGAGCTACATTGTGAGGTAATTTGGTAGCGGGATACCAAGATTTGTTGGGGTTGCATCTTCTCACAAGAAAACAGAAAAAAATAATAGCAGTTAGGAAACCACATAAGCGCAGATACATTTTTTCAAAAGAGGACACTTTCACCTCTAGCAGCAGTAATTTTCACAACCACCACATTCACACGATGATTGGGAATGGGTAGACGAAGCTTTCTCGCGAGAGAGCTTTTGGGAACGCATAGATCACACACAACACAGACAGAGCAGTACAGAATTCGATTCAAGAACATAACCTGGAAAATAAACGAGCAGAAAAGGTTTTACATTTTGCAAACATCAGGACAACAAATGCAAGCTAAGGAAATATTTCTCAATACAAAGTGGGGAAAGATTGAAAACAACAACCACCATCAGAGAGAAAAATTTAGAGAGTCTTCGGAACTGATGATGATGAAGATGATGAGAGAGGAACGGTTGAATGAAAGAGAGAGAGAGAGAGAAAGCGCAAAAGCGATGGATGGCTTATTGAAAGCATCTGTTGTATAATTATATTCAAATTGGTATAATATGAGAATGTTTCTCGAAGTTTTGACAAGCGGATTTATTTTCATTCTTGAACTCTAACAATAATTACATTATTTTTTCTTTATTCTCAAAAAAATATTTATCATCATTTGATTTTCTCAACATTGTGCTCGTATTAGGATCGGTTTTTCTTATTTTTCTCCTTCGGATCATTGGAAGAAACACAAACCTTCTGCGGCATTCCCATGACAAATGTTTCGCTGCATCTTCACAAGTTGGGCTCAATGGGCGTATGCTTTACGGAGCCGGCGCCATTTTTCTCGTTTGAATTCTTCTTACCCAGTTCTTCAGTACGTTCGTGGCTATGCACCGTCAGGTCCCAGTTTATCGATGGTTGTCCCATAAAGATCACTATTTTTGGCCGTCGTCAAACGATCATCCCATCGACATTTTTTTTTTTGCTTTTTGCTTCTACTGTGTGACATTCATTTGACACAACAACAACAACAACAAGACACAAATCAAAACAAACGAAATCGCGTCATCCTCGTGCATGATCTTCACTTTATTTCTGTCGCAAATCAACAAACATTTTTCTCTTTTCCATTTTTACATACGTTGATGTAGTTTTTAGGTCACAAACAGTCCATCTTTTTTGTTATTTAGAGCAAGTTTTTTTTTCGTTTGAGATAGTGTGAGTGATGACATTTTTTTTTGGCACGAATGCGGCAACTTTTGGATGTGTGTGTGTGCGAGCGTCTTCGGATTGAGGAAAAAAAATAAACAAAAAACAAAAAATGATGTACTAGATTAGCGCCCAGAGATTAGTTCATTAGCTGATAGAAAGAAGAAAAGTAAACAAAAACAAACAAAACAACTGGTTAGTAGATTATGATGATGATGATGATGCTGAGATGCGAGAAGTTAATTCATAGTAAAACAATAATTAAGCAAAAAGAGAAAAATCGCTATTGAACGTGGTTTTCAATTTTTCTTTCATATTAAACAAATGATTACTATGGTTAGTTATTATTTTCCTGAGACGAGAAATCTCTTAAAAATATATTTTCTGACGATTTATTTTTTGCTGATAGAATTTTCTTTATTTTTTTTATTACTGAATAACTAATGATTAATTTAATGTTAAGTTAATAGATCCTGATACTGAGTGGTGTGAGTGTGAATGCATATGTGGGCAGCGTTTTTGACGGAGCGAAAATCGCTGCATGATGTGAATGAAGTAAAAAAAAAAATACACAAAAGTAAGAAATTATTTAGTAGTGTAAGAGTGCAAGCGAGAGACTTCCGGGTAGAACGGAAAGAGGAAAAAAAACATAAACTTCTGATGAAATGAAAAGGAAAAGGAAACCGAAAGGTTAGAATTAAAGATAAACAAAAGAAACGGAAGGAGAATAAGTAAAAAAAAACGCATTGAATAAGATACAAGTTTGATCGTAAGTTTAGCTAACACGGACACACTTATCTCTCAATGTAAATATTAACGGAAGAAGTAAAAAAATACCCTAGACAACAACAGCAGCAGCAAAAACAAACACAATTACACACACACACACACTCAGAGAAACCCATTCGGTTCCGGCCCGTAAATTTGGAAGCCCAATGCGTGTTTCGTCGCCGCGCGGTCCCCCATTCGGGGGGCCCCGAATCCAGTTTTCTTTGAGAGTTTGACAGGTCGAATGCTGAAAACAAACTGAAAAATGAACAAAAAATATACTTATAAATAAAGGAAAACACGCATTATAAACAAATTATTACAAAAAAAGAAAAGTAAATAATTAACAAGTAAGTTTTAGTGAAAATAAACATCCAGATAAATTAAAACAAAAGTAAACATAGCGGGATGCGAAGAGGAAGAGTCAGATGAGCAAAAAAAAAAAATCACACACAAACTCATAAAAAAAAAACATGGTGGAACTCTTGAATTCTTGCACTCGAAAAAGAAACATCAGCAACAACAACAACACGCTGTTGATCCCCAAGTATTTAAATACACACACGCATACAAAAGAAACGGTGAAAAAAGACACATACGAGTCGTTTGATACCGAAAACGACTACACATTTGAGAAAAAAATAATAATTGCAGCAGAAACTATTAAGCGACCGGTAGAGAACTGAACAAATCACAAAAAAAACAATGCTAAGAATAAACTCAAAAAAACAACATGATAAAAACTGATACACAAAAAAACGCAGACGAAAGATAGAACGAGAGAGAGAGAGAGGAAAATCGAACAATACTACATAAGAAAATGAGAAAGACAAACGTAAAAGAATACACTCATACACACTTACACAAACACACACACACACACAAACTTACACACATGAAGTAAGAAGCAGAAACACACTCACACTCAAATACATAGCAACACAATGCAGACAACAACAACAACAACAGCAACATCAACAACAACAAGAAGAAGAAGCAAAAACAAAACATCTCGATCCCCCCTTCTTTTGTATATGTAATACTGTACGTACGTTAAACACATGTAATTTTACTGAAGACAAAATAAAATGAAATTAATTGAAAAAAAAACCTAATTCCTGGCGGTTTTTCGCTGTCGGTGATACAGGATCACAGCCCATAATCGGTATTCCTCCTCCCACAGCGCAGTTTAGGGGCTTATTACGGATGTCACTTCACGGTGAAAGCACAGACAAGCAGACATAACACTCATAAGTTGTTCATCGAACAAGCATTTAACGGTTAACGGTGCTGGATTCCCGGACACTGTGGGATCAGATGTAATGAGGAAGCCGACCACCTGGCGGCATCCCGAAGACAGTCCAACTTTTACACCAGAAAGGTCCCGACCCACGACATAAAGCGGTGGATCACAATCACTATATGGAACTGGTAGACTAAGGAATGGATGCGATCTCGAGACTTATTTATCCGGAAGGTATAAGGGGATACCAGGAAATGGGAGGATCCACCTGTACACCGACTTCAAGTTCTTCTATCCCGGTTGAGAACCGGCCATACCAAAGTCTCCCACAACATGGGAGGCGAAGGCGGATTCAGACGACAGTGCGATCAGGCATGAAAAATCATTTCAGACATAACTGTGTTTATTCTACGAATGGGGTGAGGGGAATCGAAAACTGTCACTTAGCTCTCGAATGAACCTTCTCACTTGATTCCGAAAGTCGACTCGATCGACGTGAGAAGTTCATTTATCGCAAATGAACAGCTATGTGCAGTATTCATTTGATAGAATGTCAGATTCTGTAAAGCGTCGTTTATTGTGAATGAGGCGAATGTTAATTTGTGAATACAACGCTGGTTTCCAACGAAAATTCGACGAACATATATATTTTGCCACAAAAATCACTTAATAATGTTCTTTTATACCAGATTGCTACAATTTTTTGAAAACTATTCCAATATACAGCGAAATACTTTATATTACCTGGGGTTACAAAAACTAATTCGCCCTAATCATGATTCACAAAGTACGTCGATATGTATCGTTTATTTATCGAGTAACTTGTGAGAAATCAATGTTATTTGTGGATTTGTGCAAAACAAAAAGTGAATTTCGCTGAAAGATTAGGAATTAAGGTAAGTTGTATTTGTATCCTGCAGTTCCTGCATATTCTCAAAGCAATCATTGTTTTAGGAAGGCGAAATACCGACTAAAAATAAGTTTACGCGATTGATCAACCTCTGCCAAAAATCGATTCCTGGTCGGAGTACTGTGTGTTTATTCTACGAATGGAGTGAGGGGAGATGATTCGACTCACTTTAATAGAGCGATTCCAGCTGTCGAATGCAGTGAGAAAGGTCACTGTGAATGAACCCACATGAACTCTCGCTCTATTCCAACATTCGAGTTATATCGACTTTTGTCGGTGCATCGTGACTTTCCGAGTCGTGACGTTTTGACTTGTCGACTGGTGTTAAAAAGCATAAAACATGGAGGTGAAGAAGTAAGATTTTTTTTCTTGTGATCAAATTTGTATTTTTTGACGAAAACTGTTCTAATTTCAGGGTGCGCGTTACAAATCGCAAACAATTTGAAATGCTTGTGTCGATGTTGGAGGAACATCCTCCAGTAGCCAAGGGCCAAAAGTTTTGCGAGGTGATGCACATTTCGAAGCAAAACTACACCGAAATATGGGACGGTATCCGCAAAAAGCTGAACAGTCTGGGCCCTCCCATGAGAACTGTTGAGGGGTGGCAAAAAGTAACTATTGAACAAGTTTTCCTTTATTATGATAACTTCCTAGCGGTTTAAACCCACCCGAATGAAAAAACCTATCCTGTATTTGTACCATAATTAAGTATTCATAGAAGCTCTTCAACTTTCAGGTTTGGTCGGATTACCGCCAAAATGTTAAACATAAGCTTGCGTATAACAAAAAGGAATCTCAAGCTACGGGAGGTGGTCGAAATAAGATGAACGTACTTTCATCATGCGAAGAGGCTGTGGTGAAACTGTTGGCGTTGGACAGAACGGTAAACCATTCAGGTATTGTATTACTTTTTATTGCCTTTTCTGGGTGGCTACTGGCCACTTATACGTGCGATGCAGTATATGTGGTATAAAAATCGGTAATTCCGTTGAATTTGTTATTAAATTTGGTATCTCTATTTAATTTCGGTTCATGCATTTTCATATGTAGATTTTACAGTGCACAAGTTTAAAACTTGTTTTCAAATTCAGTGGCCATCCTTATTTTTTACCTTCAAATGTAGCAGATTCTTAAATTAGGAATTTTTTTACATTCTTCAGGTTCTGTATTCGGCATTCCACAAGATGAACCTTCATCGCATCGATCTTCACCTGTTTCGCCATCATTCCGTGAGCTACTCTCGAGTACACCGCAGCAAGCTATGCTTCCCATTCCAGAATCACCGATATTGAATGAGGATGACCAAGAATCGGAAAATATTGAGAACATAAATACAACGAACAGGATTGACAGAAACGGGAACATTCAACTAGCCAACAAAAGCCACAAAAGAAAGAAAGAGGAAGAAGAAACAAAGATGGGTATGCTAAGAAAGCAAACGGAATGTATGAAGACGATGGCAGACGACGCCAGAGAGACGGCCCGATACACGCGTAAAATCTACAAGCTGAAGGAGGAGCACTATAAGAAGAAACAAGAACACATGCTGGCAAAGGAGAAGCAAAAAAGCGAAGAGCTGCAGTTCAAGATGCAACTCCTGAAATACAAGAAGCGTAAGCTGGAGTTCCTAGAACGAACTGCATGAAGGGCTAAACGCAACATGGGGAGAATCGGAATGGAGACGGCAAGATGTGTATCCGATGTCGAGGAAGTTCTAGCTAGTTTTCCATTATTATTATCCTATTTTATTTAGATTGGAGTTTCCGCAACGTTGCCGATCCGCTTCCGCTGTCATCGCGTTCTAGCCTTAACTTCAAAGTGATATTTCTATTGATTTGAGAAAAATAAACCAAAGTTTCGAAGCAGTTGGCAAATACTAAGGGGTCCTTATTACACCCATAGCTCCTCCTCCGCTCCTACCATTAAAACCTAAATTCATCCACCAACGGTGTGATCGAACCCTTATATTGCTTATATGCTCTAACGGTATGATCTGACCACAGATAAACAGACATAACACTCGTAAGTTATTCATTGAACAAGCATTTATCGATCAATTTAAAAGTACAGTCAAGATTCCTATAGTACGGTTAAAAGGGACTGCACTATATGAACTGGCATTAACGAATACACGTAGCATGTGGGATTAGAGCTAATTGGGGACAAACTCTTATTTTAGGGTAATTTGAAGAGATAACTTCCTGGTGTCTTCTGAAAAAATATTGAACAGAAAATTTGCCACCTTTGGGAACATTCAGCATCTGGAAAGTCACGAATCTGATCCTCCCGAAGACCCGGAAAATCCGTAAAAGTGGTCAATTCATGAAACTAATCCTAGAGCTCCGCGGTTTTTTCGAAACCGCTCATAGACGTCTTATCAGAATTAATTCGGAGTTGTGACCTGAATATGGATCCAAGGGACCACGTGATGGTTCACCGGAAGATCCGGAAACTCCGTTAAAGTGGTCAATTCATGAAACTGATCCTAGAGCTTCATGGTTTTTTCTAAACCACTCATAGATGTCTTATCAGAATGGATTCGGAGTTGTGACCTGAACATGGACCCAAGGGACCACGGGATGGTCCAGTGGAAGAGCCGGAACATCCGTAAAAGTGGTTAATTCATGAAACTGATCCTAGAGCTCAACGGATTTTTTTGAAATCACTCCTAGACGTCTTATCAGAATGAATTCGGAGTTGTGACTGGAATATGGACACTGGAGACCACGGTATGGTGCTCTGGAATATCCGTAAAAGTGGTCGAATCATGAATCTGATCCTAAAGCTGCGTGGTTTTTTCGAAACCGCTCATAGACGTCTTATCAGAATGATTTCGGAGTTGTGACCTTACTATGAGCCCAGGGGACCACGGGATGGTCTACCTGAAGATCCAGAACATCATTAAAAGTGGCAGATTTATGAAACTGATCCTAGAGATCCGCAGATTTTTCGAAACCTCCCATAGACGTCTTATCCAGACATGGCAAATCATTTACATTCATTTTGTGCATTCATTTACATTCCGTAAAATTATGTGTGAAGTTTTTGTAGGTATTGAGATTAGCTACAATTTTTGTAAAAGACTCAAATCTGTATCTCTTATGCATGATGAACCAGAGCGAACAGAACCCACCATTGTTTTTCAGTGAATGTAAATTACATTCACTGAAAAACAATGACAAGACCTCTCTAGTTCATCATGCATAAGAGATACAGATTTGAAATATTGACAAAAGTTGAAGCTATTATCAAAACCTACAAAAGCTTCATACATCGTTTTACGGATTTCTGTTGATGAAAAAAGTTAGAGGCAAATGAATGTAAATGAATGCACGAAATGAATGTAAATGATTTGCCATGCCTGGTCTTATCAGAATACATTCGGAGTTGAGACCGGAATTTGGACCCTGAGGACCACGTGATGGTCCTTCGGAAGATTCGGAATATCCGTAAAAATGGTCAATTCATTAAACTGTTCCTTGACCTCCACGTTTTTTTTCAAAACCACTCATAAACGTCTTATCAGAATGAATTCGGAGTTATAACCGGAATATGGGCGCTGGGTTTCACGGGATGGTTTTTGTATGAGGAATATCCCAGTGCACATACTCAATGGATGGGAAACTATTTTTAATGCACAAATGAGCAATTGTTACCCCCAAACACAAAGATTGTCGAGTAACGCAAAAACAAGTTACTCGGGGGAACGTTGATGAATGTGGGTAACAATTATTAATTTTTGGGAAACAAAATTTAAACCATCCATTGGATATGTGCACCTAGAGATATTCTCCAATCAAAATTCCACAATCGAGTACTGCAGCAATCCATACATTTATTTCTCATTTGTGGGTAAATTTTAATATTTTGTAGGTTAAAAATTGTAACCATTTAGCAACATGGATTTACACGCTAAAACAAGCTACTTAATTTTTTAATTTTGCATGTAGAAGTACCTCTTCAAAATGTGAGGTTTTGAATATTTTTTTTCTTTTTTTGAACACTCTTGCGGCATTTGTGATTTTTCCGGGGCTGAGATTTTAATTCAAAACTTTAGCTTTTGAGGTATGGATGCTAACCACTCATCGGCGTGTCACTCCAAAAACAAATGAATAGTTATTTTTTAGCTAAAAATTAATAATTGTAAACCACATTCATCAGCGTTCCTTCGAGTAACTTATTGCGTTTGTGGGTAATTGTTAGTCATTTGTGCGTTAAAATCCATAACCCATCTATGAAACACTCAAAAAAAAAGGAAATTTAGACTTTTTTCCATGCCAAATCCAGCCTCGCCGTTTCATTCATTCGATGCATAAAAGTCGAATAGTAATGGCTTGTATAAATAGATTAAACACTTTGGTTTTAATTTAATACTTTATGAACGTGATTTTTAGCCGAAAACTAGTTCAACATGGAGATTATTTACACTGTTATACTTACTTTTTAGTCAAATTTAGTTTTCTTTCAGTTATTTTGACATGCATATCTGCTGCACATATTTTATGTATGGTATAACAAAAAAAATATGCATTTTAAGAGTATTATAATGTTCATTGGGAGTTTTTGTCAAACTTGTAATGTATTTTAAAGATTTTAAAGTTGGCCAGTTTTATTTGATTAGTACCGTACATATTGAAAATCAATGATCCATCATTTACATTGATATAATATACTCGGAAAAAATCTGTTCCCATATTCGTAAACGGCGTAGAAGCCGAGTAGTAAACGAATTAAATTCAACAGTTTTGAATTCGTTTAATGTAAAATTTGACAAATTTTATAACTCTTAAAATACTCACATTTTATTTTGGCAAATCAATTTAATTTCACGGAATAATTTCATGCCTCAAAGACATCCGTGTGTTTGATGCCACCAAAAAAATTTATGAAGTAGATGTCTGTGTCTAATAAACTAAAGTTCAAATAGACAGGCTTATCATAAAAAGTATCCTGATGAATGTGGGCGTCTTAGTGGAATACCTGTATAATGAGAGAGAGAAGGATTAGTATTTTCCATTTAATTCCACTACTTTATTTGCTTATCCTTGACAGATACGCGTATTTCGTCTACAATGTGCAGACTTCTTCAGTGTCTTGTACTAATACTCGAGTATTAGTCGAGTATTAGTACAAGACACTGAAGAAGTCTGCACATTGTAGACGAAATACGCGTATCTGTCAAGGATAAGCAAATAAAGTAGTGGAATTAAATGGAAAATACTAATCCTTCTCTCTTTCATTATACATAAAAAGTATTTCAAAAGTGCATATTTTTTATGCATAGCGATGTATAAATAAAGTTAAGTCAAAGCTTGCATTGAAAATACCCTATTTACTACTTTGATTATTTTTGGGTGAATATGTGCACCTTTTGGAGAGATGTGTAGTTTCTCATAGAACAAGCAGAATTTTTGGGTACCGTAAAACGACATTTGACATTCTTTGAAGAATATTATAAATATGTTTTACCACAACTAAAGTTTGTTAAATTTTTTTTAAAGTAAGTACTGAGGATCGAGAAACGAAGTGCTCAATTTTTGCCCCTTATTTTTTTATAACAAAATATCCATCTCGCTTATGCGATCTTTCAAATCATGGGGTAGCTATATTATGGTCAACCAATACATTTAGCAGATAATATCGGATGTTACCGAGAAAAAGCACTTCGAAGCGATGATTTTTATTTATTTACTAATTCGTCGCCAATCAAACGTCGACTATTTCAGTTATAACAAATATATAACGTCTAGTTTTGTCACGTCGATCGTTTCGCAATAAACGTACATCATTCTATTTAACAGCCCATTTCTAGCAAAATTTCTTCTTTGATTGTTGAAATGAAAGAAATTTATGTTTCTTAGAGGACGAGTAGGAGCATAAATCTCTGTGGCGTTCACCCTTGCGCAATAACATCGTTTATCAAATGCTATCATTGCAATATCTCTTCGTCTCTATATTAATTCGCGACATACATCGCGACGGATGTTCCAGATCTTCCGGAATATGTACTATCCCGTGGATCCCAGGGTCCATTTTCTCCGAATTCATAGCTATAAGACTTCCATACATAGTTTCGGAAAAAATCTAGTTCTAGAATCAGTTTTTTGAATTAACCACTTATATGGATGCTCAAGATCATCCAGAGGTCCGTTCCGTGATACCCAGGGTCCATATTCCAGTCACAACTCCGAATTCATTCTGAAAAGACGTCTATGAAAGGTTTCGAAAAAAAAACCATAGAGTTCTAGGATCAATTTCATGAAATGAACATTACGTGGTCCTTAGAGTCTATATTCTGATCACTGCTCCAAATTCATTCTGATAAGATATATACGAGAGGTCTCGAAAAAACCACGGAGCTCGAGGATCAATTTAATGAATTGACCACTTTAACGGATGTTCCGGATCTTCTGGTGAACCATCATGTAGTCCTCAGAGTCTATATTCAGGTCACAACTCCGAATTCATACTGTTAAGATGTCTTTAAATTGTTTCGAAAAAACCGCGAAGTTATAGGATTAGTTTCATGAATTGACCACTTTTACGGATGTTGCGGATCTTCCGATGGACCATCTCGTAGTCACTAGAGGCCATATTCAGGTCACAACTCCGAATTCATTCTGATAGGATGTCTATTTGTTGTTGAGAAAAAAACCGCAAAGTTCTAGGATTAGTTTCAGGAATTGACCACTTTTCGGATGTTCCGGATCTTCCGGTGAACCATCTCGTGGTCCTGAGAGGCCATATTCAGGTCACAACTTCAAATTCATTCTGATAGGATGTCTATAAGTTGTTTCGAAAAAAAAACGCGGAGTTCTGGGATCAATTTCATGAATTGACCACTTTTACGGATGTTCCAAATCTTCCGGTGGACCATCCCGTGGTCCCCAGAGGCCATATTCAGGTCACAACTCCGAATTCATACTGATAAGATGTCTTTAAATTGTTTCGAAAAAACCACGAAGTTATAGGATTAGTTTCATGAATTGACCACTTTTACGGATGTTGCGGATCTTCCGATGGACCATCTCGTAGTCACTAGAGGCCATATTCAGGTCACAACTCCGAATTCATTCTGATAGGATGTCTATTTGTTGTTGAGAAAAAAACCACAAAGTTCTAGGATTAGTTTCAGGAATTGACCACATTGCGGATGTTCCGGATCTTCCGGTGAACCATCTCGTGGTCCTCAGAGGCCATATTTAGGTCACAACTTCAAATTCATTCTGATAGGATGTCTATAAGTGGTTTCGAAAAAACTGCGGAGTTCTAGGATCAATTTCATGAATTGACCACTTTTACGGATGTTCCGGATCTTTCGGAGGACCATCATGTAGTCCTCAGAGTCTATATTCAGGTCTATGAGTGGTTTAAAAAAAAAACACGGAGTTCTAGGATCAATTTCATGAATTGACCACTTTCACGGATGTTTCGGATCTTCCACAGGACCAGACTTGTGACCTACCGGAAACTGAATGTTCCCAAAAGTTGGCTTACTATCTGCTTAACAACTTCTTCAAAGACATCAGGAAGTTATCTCTTCAAATTGCCGTACAATCAGTGTTTGGTCCCAATTAGCTCAAATCCCATATGCTACGTGTATTCGTTAATGCCGGATCGTCCGTACTATAGGAATCCAGTGGCAATCGTACTATAGGAATCCGGCAAAAACGAATCCGTACTATAGGAATCTTGACTGTATATTAGTTGGTAATACTGCCACCTGTGGCGTGCATAAACAGCAAAAAAATAATTTTGATATCACGTCAAAGTGGATGCACTACAATCATGTCGAAAATATGGTGTAATGTTACTTGCTAAAAAGGACAAAATTATCATTAATACAATGCATGAACTGACATTACGCTGCTTTTACTGCATTTGTTTATTTATGTGGTCATAAAAATTACATGAAATTTTCGACATGATTGTAGTGCATCCACTTTGATGTGATATCAAAATTATTTTTTTGCTGTGTAGTCAATTCCCTTGCGTTTGACGCTATCACACTACCGCCAATTGAACATTTGAACAATTTGAGCATAATAGTTCGTGTAAAAAAGACCTCAGTTTTTGTGTGAACTATAGTGTAACATTTTATGTAGAATTTATATTAAAAGTAGTGTGTAGTGTCTCATAATATTTAAATTTTAAAATTTATAGCATTAAGATGGAAATTATCGCGAAATAAGAATCGAGCATGGGGATTGAAAATAGTATATATTTATGAAACATTTAATCGTTTTTTGTTATATCTTGAAGCTAAAACACTATCGATTATTTTGGAAAATTGCATACATTATCTCATCTCTGATATTAGCAGCAGTAACATTTGCATTATCATCAGCTGCTTCTTCTTCCTGAAAATCTGCTTCGAATTGGGGTATAGTTTCATGCAGTGGTACATTAAATCTTATGCGAAGGTTGTGCAAGGCACAGCATACATTGATTATTTTAGTAGCTTTTTCGGGTTTATAATGTAGCTGACGTGCACCCAGAATACATCGAAAAACATTTTTCAGGACCCCAAACGACCGCTCGACAATCCATCTCGTTTTTGAATGAATTTGATTGAATCTGAGCTTCAATTCATTGTTTTGGGAGCTGCCTGAAGTTCGATAAGGAGTAATCAAAAAAGGTTTTAAAGCATAGCCAGCATCACCTGTAAAAATAAAAAGTTATCAATTATTAGCATTGTCCCAAATTACTATGTGCCAAAATGATGCTGACTTTGGCTTAGAAATAATGCAATCATTCCGTTCTGCTTGCATAACAAACATACCTAAAATCCACGAGTTCCTCTCGCCATTCATGAAGTTCGTTTCTAGCATGTCATTGAGAGAGCTTGTGTTCCAAATAAACGAATCATGTGAAGAGCCAGGGTGGTTTGCATCGACATACCGTATGATCATGTTATGATCGCATACCTATTGATATTTTAACAATTGTTAGTAAATAGAAATAGAACCAACTTTTTATGCCTACCACCATAACGTTCAAACTATGGTATCCCTTCCGATTGTAATATAAATGCTGCACGTCAGATCTTGGCTTAAATATTTTTACATGAGTACCATCGACGCATCCAATGACTCCTGGGAATCCAGTCTTTTCAAAAAATCCCATTTTAATAGAATTTTTTTCTGCTTCGTTAGTAGGAAATGTAATCACTGTTGCACACACATGTTCTTCAAATACATCAATTACTTTCGTTAAAATTTTCGACATGGTTCCCGAAAAAAAAATTACAGTGAAATTTTCAGTGGAAACAATGCTCTAACATTAATATTTATTGTCGACAATAAAAATGATTGTTATAATGTTGTACTCTTCCGAAAACGGCAAAACTGCTACCTAGCTGTACAATGAATGTACATAATAAAATGTTGTTACAATGATTTTTATCGTATTTTTCATTTATTTTATTGTTAACATGATTCGATCATGAACAATAATGAACAACTCTATTACAATAAAAATTGTTGTTACATTAAATATTGGTGTATTTTCATTGTGGGTTACTTCACGAACAATAAAAATAAATCTGATTGAAGCATGCAGACTATGAGAGGGTCAGCAACACTGCGAATGTAATTAAGATAGGCGCTGCTCGTATGGCTCTGGCTTTGATAGTTCGTTTGGCTCAAAACCAGGCAGTCCGCGTCCGCTCATATCTTATCCTAGACCCTCTCTAAAGCTTAATGGAGACCTTTTTCCGTGCAGTCAATAATCATACAATAATAATAAAAAATTCCACCACTTGAAGATGTCAGGAAGGAACTCTCAGGTGGAGGCATATTTCATGGGCGATTCTCTCCAGTCGAATGCATTAACTTATCAACGACGCTCAACCACCAAGGAGACGTGACCTAGGGATATCGAGCGCAGGGGAGTTGGCCTGCATTTCTCACAAGTTCCGGATCGAATCTCGATCCATAACCAGTAAAAAAAGGACTACCCGTAACATACGAACCACCCCCTTCCCTTCCCGGGGCAATGTTTTATTTTTTCGGTTTATTTTTAAAGTCGATAAAGTAGATCTGTCAAGCCAACACATACACTCTAAAGTACACTGTTATTTTTTTTAATCAATAAATTCGCCAACCAACAGTAAAATAACAATAATATATAATGTTATTGAAAAAAAATTATATGGGAAAATCACGAAAATTTCATTGTTAAGATACTTAACAACCCCCCTTTTTTATTGTAAATTTTCCATTTACCATGAAATTTATTGTTTTGTACAACATAAATCAAGGTAAATTTATTGTAGACGTAACAATATAAATCATTGTTAAGACAATAATTTTCGTCTTATTGTTACATTGTTTTTTAATGTATTTTTGTTGTTATTTTTTTTCGGGTTGGCTGAGCAACTCCAACGAAAAGATCATTTCCGGCTCCTTTTTGATATCCACCTTCAGCAAAAAACCTCAAAGCAGCAGCTAGCTTGATAATGGGTAGAACAGATGCTGATCCCACTGTTGGACCAAGTTTTGTATCGAGGATGTTCAAAAGGTGATTGAACAAATCTTTGGAGACTCGAAAATAGTTAACAAACCTAAAAATTGCCAGATTGTTAGAAGAAGAAAAACTCCAACGCTCTAGTATACGAATACATACGTATCGGAAGGCAAATCCAGAGGATTTGACGCATCTCGCAGTCTACGGCGTTCAATTCTTACAGACGACAAATCTTCCTCTGTGATATCATCACTTTCCACATCACTGTCGAACCAGAGTTCAAAACTGCTCATTTTCGTGTTTTGGAGGGCCGGAACCAGTACTCCGACCAGGAATCGATTTTTGGCAGAGGTTGATCAATCGCGTAAACTTATTTTTAGTCGGTATTTCGCCTTCCTAAAACAATGATTGCTTTGAGAATATGCAGGAACTGCAGGATACAAATACAACTTACCTTAATTCCTAATCTTTCAGCGAAATTCACTTTTTGTTTTGCACAAATCCACAAATAACATTGATTTCTCACAAGTTACTCGATAAATAAACGATA